TCATGGTCCTGACAAAGTGTTGTTATTTTTCGGGTCAATCAGAAATACAATTTGGCTGCCATGGCCGCTATTTTGCTACTAAGTTCTAATAGGCCGATCTCACTTAAAATTGGTCTAGGAATGATCAGCTCATGGTCCTGACAAAGTTAAGTTAACATTATACTATTTTTTACTCAAATTGGTACATATTTCAACAACAAAAATAAATACTGTAGACTCAGGTGACCGTTTAGGCCCATGGGCCTCTTGTTTAATGGTTGAAGCCAGAGGTTCTAGATACCCAAGTTCAAAAAGTAATATGTGTAGCGATGTGTTAAACATTTCATGACTTTTAACATTATATTTTTGATTGAAAGAATAAAAATTGGATTTTTACGTAAATCATTGAGGGAGGACCAACGTTGATTGGTGTATTGTAAAATGTGTATTTAAGTGTCTGATATACATCCCTGTTTTAGTTGGTTTAAACCATATTTTATTCGTGTCAATTAACATGTACAATTACAAAAGACATTTCATTGTGATGATTTGGAAACAAGCACTTACATACTACATAGTCCTTCTCATCAAACACACTCAACATCTCTGTTTTACTGGAGACATGTAGGCGATGTAAGCTTCTAACTCAGTTAAACCATCTCTGTTTTACTGGAGACATGTAGGCGATGTAAGCTTCCTAACTCAGTCAAACCCTCTCTGTTTTACTGGAGACATGTAGGCGATGTAAGCTTCCTAATTCAGTCAAACCATCTCTGTTTTACTGGAGACATGTAGGCGATGTAAGCTTCCTAACTCGGTCAAGTTATTTCCTGGATTATGGTGTAGTATTTGTTGTCTTGTTTGATAGAATACAAGGGACACAACTCTTGTTGGCTTGCCTGTTTTCTGGCTAAACCAATGACAGAAAAGTTCTGTTGTTACAATGTTTAAAATATTTTCAATTTTGTTCGTGTAATCGTAACGAAGACGATCCCATCACCATTTTAGAACAACTCTCCAACCAATGGAGAAGACATTGTAAAAATATAAAATGTTAAATTGATTTCAAGCAAATTTACAGAAACACTTTTTTTTATATAGGACATGGGCTTTTTACTGGAGCCAACATATGACCTACGTGTGTGTTGAAAATATTTCTATAAACGCACTTCTTATTTGAAATGACAATTTTTACAGAGAAAGTATTCATATAATTTAATGTAATGTTATGCTTCTTGATCTTTAAAAGTCACTTGTGGGGTTTAGTCAATATATTTGTGCCTAAATATGTATAGATGTTTGCTATCATGCTTCAGTATTTATCTCCGTTACACCAAGAAAGCTGTAAACTAGATTTTATTACCGGTGATGTTGACTTGTTATTGGGGACATATCATCTGCGCTATCATCTTATGTACTTTTATTTGCATATGCATTCTTATTCCGCAAAGATAATTGATAATGAGGAACATACAAGATGATATAATTCAATTTTCATCAGGACTTATCTGGTAATGAAATGGAAATGAATGGAAATTGAGCAGAGACAATTCACACTGGAATTGCGTCATACGATAATAGTTAAATGCCAACATGGGTCACAGTGAGAGCACAATCTGGGCTGACGGGGAACCCGTCCTAGTACTCACCGGGCAGTGAATGATCGGTGGTCAGATATCTCCAGCACTGACCAGANGGGGGGGGGACTGATGGCCAAGAGATAAATATATATCGGGATCGGACAGGGGAAAGTCTGCTTTTAAGTATGGAACAGTCCGGGTGTTCAAATAGAAATGTATCCTCGGAAGGGAAAGCAGACTAAGGTCACGTTAACTGGGGTGGGGGAGTCAAATTGTATATGTATAATTCAGGCCACACAAGTGTGAGTTACTTAAAACTAAATAATACGTGACTGAACTACTGAGGTAAATCGTTACCATCAATGGTGGGATATACTGAGTGTTGATCTGAGGTGTCTAATGATACTCCCTACCCAGAACATGTAGCCCTGTAATTGACATTTGGGATCATGTAGTAGATTTAGGGTTAGGTGGCGCCTGGTGAAGCAACCCTGCTAGTAAAGCTACGTCACCCCTTATTGAATTTGTGACGTTATGTATTTGTACGTAACATAAACAACTAGGGGTTGAGTTGTTGAATATTGCCGTGTATAACCACGCCATCTGTTGGTGTAACACCCCGAATTAGGACTAACAAAAAAACCCAATCAATATCATCTATTAAAGATGTTCACGATCTATATTTTCCAGTCGATATGTGCCTAGACCTGAAAGACTGTGGTGAATGATGATTGAGTCTGGGAGGGTCTACGAGCAGGAAGTGGGTGTTATATAATTGAAGTATGATGAATGTTCATAATCACATCATACAAAAAATTCTCTGCTCTTATCAGTAACAGTACGTTTTCTATCTTTTCCCTAAAAAAATGCATGTATCACATTTACCATGTGTATGTAGTGATTCATGTTCTCTCAACGAAATGACATGTAAAAACGACCAGCATTTATTACAAACAGCCGATAGGAGGGCAAATTTATACCTATCATACTTGTTAAGGGGTATCTTCAAAGCAGAAAAATGTATTAAAAAACTCGATGTTGATTGAAAAAATACTTCACTGCAAAAACAAAAAATCCTGTGAAAAATGTGATTTTAATTTGGTGTTTTTTCATGCTAGATATAATGATGCATGTGGTGCCGAAACGTGTATAAAACACTGCTTGTTATTTGTTGATTTGTAACCGTCTTCAGTGTTGCTGTTTTTGATTGGTCGTTTGAGACTGGCTGCAGTGTTGTTAGCCTTTACTGTGCAATAATAAAAGTGTAATCGACGCTGTCAGACGTCTGTTGTTGCTCCCCTACCTTAGAGTAGGTTTCTGCTCAGATGTCTATTTAATGACCACTCGTGTACTTTAATATTAGGTTGCCCGGTATGTCTGAGGGAGGGCGATAGCGCCACTGACAGAACCCCTACTTACACTATTACAGACTCCCTCCCTTTCCATGTGTACGCTGAAAGGCCCTAATCCCCATTGCTTGCCATATTTTTATGATGCCAGTCATTTGACGAGGTGCTGGTCAACATCATGACAGCAGGAATACAAAATATTGGAAAGTGACGAGGATCGAAGAGTACTCCCAGAACGTATAGAACACCATTATCTGTGTGAAAGGTTAGCAAAAGTATCCAGAAATTCATTCCGCTTAATATCACAGCTGATTCTTGAATGTTTCGGTTATTTGCATGAAGGGATCAAACCTTGAAACATTTCCTCTCTTTTAGAATCTGTACCGCAAACCAGTGTATCGATGTGTCTGGTCCCTGGAAATCAAATTAGGCTGTACTGTAAATACTATTTTTTGTCCTTTATATTGTGTTTGGTTATTTTGTTCATTTCAATTAAATATTTCCTTATAACCAGCCGAACTAAATGTAATTGTTAAACTTTATTGGTCTATACTATGTAACCGTGTACGTGGTTTAAATTTTAACCATGTGTGCTTATGAGTTTACCAGCGGCACTGCGCAATAGGAACATATGTGATACGTTGAATTTTCTATATCGTCATACATCACCGGTTAAAGGGAACACCTGTGCGATATACTGTCGTACACTACCAGTTAATTTACCAAATTATCATGTAGTTACATCGTACACCACTGTTTAAAGGGAACGCTTGTGTATCGTACAGTCTATACGTCATCATTGACATCGTACACCACTGGTTAAAAGGAACGCTTGTGTATCGTACATCAGTTTTATCGTACACCACTGGTTAAAGGGAACGTTTGTGTATCGTACAGTCTATACGTCATCAGTTACATCGTACACCATTGGTTAAAGGGAGCGTTTGTGTATCGTACTGTCTATACGTCTTGAGTTACATCGTACACCATTGGTTAAAGGGAACGTTTGTGTATCGTACAGTCTATACTGGTTAAAGGGAGCGTTTGTGTATCGTACTGTCTATACGTCTTGAGTTACATCGTACACCA